GGGGGGGGGGGGGGGGGGGCAAACTAGTAGTACTCGCAAGAGTGGAAATCGAACGAGTGACCAGCGCGCGAGCGAGCTCGGAGAAAGAGAAAGAGTTAAAAGTGTAGGGTGGCTTTCTCTCTCTCTCTCTTCGTTCATGTCTATATAGATGAGTGTGCGGATTCGTGTTAGCAACCCTCCTCCCCTTGATCTGTCCATGCGGCTCGTGTGCAAAAGAGAAGAGAGAGAGAGAGAGATCGCAGAGCTTGAAAATTTGCGGAGTGCCGAGCTAGTACTGCTTTTTCTCTCTCTCTCTCTCTTCATATACGTGTACGGCGTGTTATGTATGGAAAAGAGGTGGTCGGTCGTGCGGCTCTACCGGCAATTCTGTAGCTTTTATATAAATACATACATGTATATGCGCCATATATTTCGAACTCGTAGCTTTACACTTTTCGAGACTGGAATTTTCAAACAAGCTCGCAGATATATATATGTGGCGCGTACGTGTGCGAGCTTCGAGTGTATGTATAGTACTGTGCTGCGCGCGCGATTTGCTCGGTTTTTACGCGGTTGTTAAAATTATGCGGGATGTTACAGTGCGCGCGCGTGTATATGCCGCTGCTATGCGCCCGAATACTTTTGCCCGAGAGCTTTTGTTCGGCTTGTTGCGCGGATTTTCTCTTATACAGCTTATATGTATCGTGTATATGGTATACGGACTTGTGGGTTCGCTGCTATAAATGCACTAAAATCGCCCATAATTTTCAAGTTTTTCCCGATGGAAAAATATTCTATTGCGCTGCGCGAATCAATGAGTTTCAAAGGCATTTCGTCGAGATTCAAATCGTAAATACGAGGCCAGGTATCGCGCGCAGATCGATCATGGAATATAAAACTACGCAGACACAATATGCAACGCGAGAGTCTTGAAATCGAATCGTGGCTCTTTTTCTACGATTCGTCTGATTTGCACGGTATCTTTAATTTATTAACGCTACGTGCCACACATGTATATTATATAGGAAGAATCGCAAAAGGGAGCAAAAATAACAAGGCCGGGTGCTCTGCGTCTGTCTACTGTCCCCCTGCTGCTGCTACTGCTACTGTTTTCAACTGGGTTAGCGTCACGACGCAAAATCACCTTTGACGCGCAAGATAGCTTTGCAGTTATACGAAAACCGATACGTTATCGCTCTCATAAAACTGCATCGTGCGAGAATGACACAGTAGGTACACTAACACACACATACATGAGCACGAGCAGTTCGTTCGAGCTTTGACGACGACGCCGCCGCCGCACCCCTTGCCCTCTCTTTGACGTTTGATGATGGGCTTTTTATGGGGTTTTTGGGAAACTTTTTCCCTCGGAGAATGGGCGTGTGTGCTGCTGCTGCTGTGCAGTGTACTATATACGATTTTTGTTTTTCACTACTTTCCCTCTGTGCGTAAGCCTCGGGAGTTGTTTAGTTTTTTGCGCGGAATGAAAGACCACGGGAGAGGCAGATTGGGAGGCAATGTCAAGCTGATAAATTTCATCCCCTTTTTTTTTCGTCCTCGCGCGAAACAAACGGATGGTTTCGTTTATTTGACTCTTTGGATTTTTAAATTAATTTTGCGATTAATCGTTTTTGGTGTGTGAAACATTTATGAAAAATAAAGTAAAAAAACTCGATTTTCTGCGAGTATTTTTTTTTTTTAATTCAAACATCGTGACGAAGCTGTTTTACTCGTGTAAAAATGAAGCATTTCGAAGGCAGACGCTTGAAGAGCCATTTAATCAGTCATAAAATAGAAATTAATCAGAGGGGCGCGACGAGACGACGGCAGTTGCCCTCGCGAGTCGAGTATGATGAAGCGCCGCAGCCACTACTACCCTCATAAATTTTCCCAACCTACGCTTCTATTGTTCTATTATTCTATGATGCGAACCTTTCAATTTCTTTAATCGTATTGCTTGTTATCGCTGATATTCAGTTTTAATCAACTTTATAAACAACTTGATACATGATGCAAGCGGATTTGTGCTTGAAAATTTCTTAAAAAAATCAGTTGATGGTGTTATTATTGGATAAATCAAGTTAATAAATATTTAAAATGTACAATTTTGTTTCAATATTAGAAAAACAGCGTTAAAAATATATTTTTACCTCTATTATTTTTCAAGTTATTTGCTAAAGTGGAAACAGAGAAAAAAAATTAAAAATAAGTCGTGTGCTTGATTTTTCTTAAAAAATGTATTTATTTTTGAAAACTTGAAAATCGTTTATACATAATGAAATAACATAGATCGAACCCATGATATCATAGTCAATGAACATTTTCAGATGTCCCTGTCGTGTGCATATTTTCTACAACTATCGCATTAGTCTAATACCAATCAACACTTCATGAATGTAGATTTTGAGAGTCACATCTCACATGTACGGGTCATACATTCGTGCACCGAATCGGTGTGGTTTATGAGATTACTTTTATTTGAGAATTTCTTTCCGCATGTATCACATACGTGCAGGTGATACCTTGGTGCAATGATTTTACGTGCCTTTTAAGACTAGATTTTCGAGTAAACGTCGTGCCGCAAATATCACATGCGTGGGTGATACCTTGGTGCGAAGATTGTACGTGCATTCTGAGATTACTCTTAAGTGAGAATTTCTTTCCGCATATACTGCAAGGATGGGTGATTATATTGTGTATCGCATCGATATGGCTGTGGAGATTACTTTTTTTTGAAAATTTCTTTCCGCATGCATCGCAGGTGTAGGTGATACCTTGATGCGAAGATTTTACGTGCCTTTTAAGATCAGATTTTCGAGTAAACATTTTTCCGCATAAACCACATGTGTGAGTGATACCTTGGTGCGAAGATTTTACATGCCTTTTAAGATCATATTTTCGAGCAAACGTCTTGCTGCAAATATCACATGTGTGGGTGATACCTTGGTGCGATGATTGTATGTGACTATTGAGTTGACCCTTTTGATTGTATGTCTTTTGGCATATACCGCATGCATGCCTGAAACCATGATGTACCGAATCTTTGTGCCTTTTGAGACTACTCTTATCTGAGAATTTCCGTTTACATATACTGCAAGGATGGGTGATTTTATTGTGTATCGCATCTATATGGATTTGGAGATTACCTTTTTGTGAAAATTTTTTTCCGCATGTATCACATGTGCAGGTGATACCTTGGTGCAATGATTGGACATGCCGATTCAGACTCCCTTTATGTGAAAATTTCTTTCTACAAATATCACATGTGTAGGTTGTATCTTTACGCATGCGTATTTCGAGTCTTTGTTTATACTTATTTGCAGCTCTTTTAATTTTATTTTGCTCTTGAAATTCGCAATCTGAATTCAAATCTAACTTCTCTGCAACGTCACTGTCAAATTCTTTTTTCACTTCTCCAAGAGTTTCTTTTTTAATTATGTTTTGAGATGCATAAAAATTATTATCATTTGTTTTGTGAGCGTAATTCAGAAAATTCGTGCCAGGCTTCATGTCTATACACTCGAACTCTATTTCCACAGCGTCAAGTTCAATTTCCCGATTTCCGTCACATTCTCGAAGCCCATAGGTCTGTCGAAAATTGAACTAATGAAAAATTGTTCATAAAGAAAAAATAACAATACTAGTCTTATATAATTATGAGCTCTTACTGATCTATTATCTTGTGGAAATATGGAGAACTGAAAATGTTTAACATCCGGTTTCTGGTCAATAACATCGTAATCATTTTCGATAGGCGAAACCTCACTAGGTTCTTCCTTTATTCTGCAATAATTTCGATACAATTATGTTCTCTGCTATAATACTCGTATCTTAATTTAGACATTACCTGATGTCACAGTTGGATAAATCACTCGATGTCATGTTTCACGCTCGGAATCTGTATAACGATTAATCTGTGTGTACGTTACGTGTCGAACGAACGAAAAAGTAAATTTAATATTATTTACAAATTTCATGTTACGAAGATGGGACCTTACTAATGTAAACGAAGCAAAGCTCAGCTATTGTATTCTATCAGCGAAGAAATTACGTAACATGTCTCTCGTCAAATGATCAACAATAAATATATTTTTCAATTCATAATGACGTATAATTGAAAAGAAATTGCGAAACGAAATTTAATGAAAGAAAGTTTTATTTCTCACACTTATAATTTTTAATCAAAAGTACCACAAGATTTAAAAAATAATCCTGCAAAAATAATATCTCGTCACGGGTGTACGCCGATTAGAGCACATACAAACACATAGCCCGAAAGGTCAAGAGCGCTTCATGAACAAAGGTGACACCCCGGGCTCAATCTTTTGCACCTCGCCGCGCACGCACGCACATCCACACTCGAGACTTTTCGTGCGATACATCATTCGTAAATGAATGCGCCGCGTGGCGTGTAGGTAGCCCTCGAAGCTCTCCTCTCTCTCTCTCCTCCCGTACGCGACACAGTCGTATACGAGGTCAAAAATTATGAGATATAAACGAGGCAGTGGGTGTGCGCGTGTGCTTTATTCATTCGCTCGTATGTGTCTCTCCCTCCCTCTCTCCCTCACCCTCGGCCTCTCCCTGTTCGTCAGCGTGTGCGTGTGTGTATACGTACGTATATATATACAACAGCTGCACACGGAACCACCCACCCCTCATACACACAGCGTATATATACGACGCTGTGTATATGCATAATACTGTTGGACGAGTACGCAGAGAGAGAGAGAGAGAGAGAGAGAGAGAGAGAGAGCATACTTTACCAACGAGTATACACGTATATATAGGATACATACATATGCGCACACAGATTACACAGAAGTCTCTTTATCGTCCGAACTGGCCGAGCACACGTTGAATATACGTGTGTGTGTGTATACTACACGGCCTGGCAACTTTGTATGGAGGTGCGCATGCAAAAGCTACTGCTCTCAACCCACTTGGTTGCTTTCCGCGCGTTGTGTCCAGCAGCTATATAGCCTGTATATAGGTAGTAGCCGAGCCAGCAGCAGCAGCAGTCATCCCCCCGTATAGTATACAGCTGTCTTCTATACATAGGTATAGTATATTTATACCCTCTCTCGGCCGCCGCGCTTGGCTATCTCTCTCTCTCTCACTCCACCCACTTCACTTGTGCCGGTGGTAATCCGACTGGCTAGCCACTCGCGCCAACAAATACCCTCAGCGTCAGCCGCACGGCGGTTCGCCCGCTCTCTCTCTCTGTGCTCGCACCCGCGCTAGCGAGCGAGCGACGAGCCTTCCTCGCCTCCGCACTCTTTGGCTCTCGCTCCACTGTACTCTTTATGTACACCTATATACGTATATACATTTACACACACATACGCACGCACACGTTTGTGCGCTCGATGCTTTTTCGCTTTTTCACCCGCGTGGAAATGATGGCGAGCTTGCACTCGCTCGTAGTTATATAGCTCGAGCTTTTTACCAATCATAAATGTATGGATTATTTTATCGACTAAGCCGCGCGTCGCGTTGCAACTTTTCTCTTTATAAGCGATTCATCGCTCGTTATATCCGCGCGCGCTCTACGCTATATACGATTTTATATCGAGTTATTCATATATTTGAACTGCGTGATTTTTCACAGACTCGCAGCGCGCGACGCGTAATGACATTCGAAATGACCACTGGTAACGAGATGCTATGCGAGTATTACGTGTTGCAGAGTTATTAAAAAAAATTTTATTTTTATGATTTACAACGCGGAGTCGGGTATCCTTGGAATGAAATCTTGCGCGTGGAGATGACCATTACGACCATAATTTTTACGATAAGTGATATTTTCCAGAACTCCTAACAGATATAGATTATTGGTATACATATTAAAAATCTTAATGACGTCATTATCCATTGCTCGGTAAAGATTATAACTAACACCTGTTTCGGGTAATTCGATACCCATGATATAACCGAAAAAAATTCCCAAGCTAGAGCTAGCTGGTGCAGCAGCAAATTGCAAAAATTGTACATCGATGAGGCAGAAAGGCGACTGCTGCATGTACAAATTTTCCAACGCAGTTTCGCAGCGGCGAGAGAGCTGCTGCTGCGGCCGAGTGGAAAAAGAGCAGTGACGAGCTGTGTGCGCGGCCCCCGGTTCATATACTCGTACGTACGTATGTATACGGCATATCGGTCGTTCTCTCTCTCCCTCGCATATATATAAAACGAGAGAGTCAGGAGAGAGAGAGAGAGACTACCGGAGCTCGAACGCGACTATACACGTATACTGCACAGCACATATAGCTCTACATATATACAAGCGCGTACAACCACGATGGCTGCGCTGTGGCAGTGTGAGAGCTGAGTAGAGCTCGTGCAGGCAGGCAGCCGCGCGAGGGATGAAAAGAGAGATATGCAGTGGCCGCGGCAGTGGTACACTCTCTGGTGAACCGCGCCCCCGACACCCCGAACTACCGCGAAATGCGCTCGCCCGGCCGCCGCCGCCGCCAGCCACCGACCCGCCAACCGTATACACTCTATACACGCATATATACAGGCACACGTGTATATGTATACGTAGCGCAGCTCTCGCTTCGCGAATGCATCGATGTTATACGACCTACTATTACGGATCTAGAGTGTGTAAATGTAACTGCTGCCGCTGCAGGCGGAAAAATTTTTTATTCCACGTGCTGCTGCTGGTTGCTGCTGCGTGAGCTTTTGGTGAAAAGCTCGGTCTCTCTCTCTCTCTGTGCACTGCTGCAGCCGCTGACGCGGCGCTGATTTTCGATCATCGAATTTCGCGTTAAAGGCGCGCACTGCTGCACGCACACATCGTACGCATTCACTCGCATGCAGCAGCAGCAGTAACAGCGGCGGATCATTTTCCCCGAATTCGGCTGCATTAGTTTCGTTTGCATCGCGCGTATATAGCCCAGCGCGCGCGCGTTTCCAGGTGAATTCGAGCGCGAGGGCAAAAGCTTTATTCCGTAACGCACGCACATATGTAGACTTTACGTTCTATTATCTATGCGCGTGGCTGGGTATTACAGACCGTATCGAAGTTTCCTTTCTCGCTCTCTCTCGCTCTATCTCTTTTTTTTTTATTTTGCAACCCCCGCGCCGATCGATCGTGCATTCGATCGTATCTTTTATTTTTGCGGACGATGAATCTTCGTCGCAGTTATTTTTATTGCTCTTCTCGCGAGAGATGGGCGCGCGCGCGTGAAATTAAAATATATTAAGTACGAGCCATTGCTCGCGGGTATTTTATCCGCGACAACTATATGGCTCACACACTCGAGCTGGAAGCTCTTTTTTTCGAAGTAAAAATTGTATAAAAATTCGTTTCGAGTTTAGGCCAGAGCGAGTGAACAGTATTTAACCTGCCTGCGTGCGTTACAGCCGTGTGCAAATTTTTGCATCCCTATCTCGTCGACGCCTGTACACCGCCATTATTATCTCGTCGCGAGACTATATAATAATGGTATATATACGTATACATGTATCATACAAGAGTGAAAAACTTGCGTGTATACAAGCCACCACCCTGGCACTGCATACGTGTACGTACCCTGTATTGTATATAGCTCAACGCGCGCAACTCGGCAGCGACGCAAAAGTTAACGGGATTACACGTAATTCAGTTGACGTCGGGCCGTACATACGTATATAGAAAGCAACAGCGCAGCGACGACGATCTACGCAGCAGGAGCAGCGCAACGTCGATGCAGCAGTACAGCAGCGTTGTAACGACAGCGAGACAATTAACGTCAGACGTGGGCGACGCGCGAGAGGATTTGTAAGCGCTAGCGAGCGAGCTATAGTATAGCGAGCTAGCTCGTCCGCCACAGCCACCACCACCGCCGCCACGTATGCGTGAATGTCGACTACGAGTACACTGTACACGTTGCTATGGAGAGAGCATTTTTTCATACCCAGTTCTTTATTTTTTTCTTTTTCCCTTCCTCTTTTTTTTGCACTCGTGTGCTAGAGCATAAGCAACGGCAGCAGCTTCTGGATATAGAGTAATATACACACAGCGAACGCGACGCGCGCGCGGTCAACGCTAGAGTCTTTTGACGCGCTTGTAAAGCTGCGTGGGCGCGCGCGTGCAAAGTCAGTCCTCGCACACACACAGGACACGTTATGTACTCTATGGAGTCCCTGATGCTGCTGCTGCTGCGTCGTCGTTGTTGTTGTTGCGCTTATATCAGCCGCGCTATACACGAGAAATAATTGCGCCGCTGCTGCTGCTGCGCCTCTTCTTCTTTTTTTTTCATTTTATTTTATTTTATATCCGACTGACCTGGCAAAAACGGTGGCTTTTTCAACGGAGAGCTTATGTAATACGCCCCCGCTCGACGTCGGCGGTGGCTTGTACTCTGTGGCCTCTGCGTGCGGGATGAAATTTACTAGAAAAAAGAAAAAAAGGAAAATTACGTGACAAATTAGTTGCGCTCTACGCGGGCGCACTGGCCACTATACCATACTCTTCGTGCGAAATAAATATTTTAATATTAAAACTTGAAAAAAATGCAATACCTCTCGACGGTCATTTTTCCCTTTCCGCGCCGCGTTATATAATTTGCTTTCACAAAGCTATTAAAATCTATGCATCGTACGCGCCTACATTTGCATTAACTTCGCGCAGTGTAAATGGATTTTCCAAATCAACGATCGATTTCAAGTCCGAGTATACATAGGGTCGACTTCTGCCGGAGCTCGGAAGATATGAGCGACAGATCCCGAAGCTTAGCGCGCTGCAGCTATATACATATATGGGGTGGCTGCGCCGGCCGCACGCAACGTGCATTTTCCAAGCTTTGCACATGTATGCAAACATAGACTCCTATATATGGCTCTTGACGTTTCGATGTTTGCTTCGTCTCTCGTCTCGGCGCACCGAGCTCTAGCGCTTCGAGCTCGTCAAAGTCTAATATACGATGCAGTGTACTTACGCATGCGTCGATGATGTGCCGTATGCACTCGTGCAGCGATCATCGGGTAA